TTAAGATTCACTCATTGCAGTACAGCCATTTTTCGGGGGGAAGGGGGTTCAGGAGGGACTGTTGCCTGCCCTAAGAGATCTCTCCAGAGGTCCCTAGAGAAAACACCTGTTCCTCAACCTCCATTAGCAAAAGCCATGTGGGGACATGTCCTTCAGAGTTCTCACATGACTCAGACTTTGCATCTGACTCTACTGCTCTTAATTGGGCGATTTATAAGAACAGGGTTTGTTTGTAATGTGAATGTTATTCTCAGAGGAAATTACTTCAGCCCTGGCACAACAGACTGGGGATTTTGTGCTTCTTATCTAATCCCATCTCACACCAGAGCCCAGTGACCCAGGGAACCCTTCCACTTCTCTAAGATTTAATTACTTCTTCCGGCAAGAAATGAAGAACCAGTTGATCTTTCATTTTGCATGTATATGTTCCAAAGGATAAATATACACCAGGTTTCATGTTATAGACATCTGACCTCTTGACACCATTGGGCCTGTTTTCTGCTTCCCTACCTTGCAGAGTTCATCAGACCAGGAATCTGGAGATTTTGAACCCTTTTTCCTTCTCCAAAAGGGATGTTTGATCACAAGCCTGTGACTTTATTATTATTTACTACACACTGAGGAGATAGAAGCTGTTAATCTCACTGCAGGCCAAGCCCCTTGATGGCTGTGGCAGATGGGGAATACCACCAACACTGTAAGGATCTTGTGCAACCTCTCCAACACAGTCCCCCTGCAGACACTCTCTGCAGCAAGGCTCTTTGGCCCACTACTTCAGTCAAGGCAATAAAACCAAGAAGAAATTCCCTTTGCAGCTCTGTGTTTCCCCCTCTGCTGTGCTCACCCCTGGCTCTCCCACCTGGACTAAACTGAGTACCTTGCAGACTCCTGGAACACAATAGCATAAAACTCTGACCTATTATCCCAGGACGAAAATGTCCAAACATCTGTCATAAAACCTTGAACTCAGCTTATGACTAGACCTGTCACAACAACATAAGATGCTGGAGAAAAATAAAAGTCTAAACTACAAGTCTAGTTTATTATGAACAAAATCATTACATGATGAGAGGAGCTGCTAATTTACATTAAGGTGTTTAGTAGACAGGAAAGGGAAAAAAAGGGGGCTGGAACAACTACTCGTAGACCTACAGAGTTCATAGAATCACTGTGTTCCTACTTGCAGCTTGTTTTTTTAGCATCACTCTCTAGCATCTGCTTTCCTGCAAGACTGGAGAAGCCTAGAGGGCAAAGCAGTCAGGATCCATTAGTGGGGTTATTTTTTATGATCAAAATCTGGTGTCTTTCCTCATAGAAAACAATTAAATACATCAGACTCAGCTCGGTGCAGGTCACTGCCAGGCAAGTGGTCAAGCCCTGTGGTCACAGCTGGCAAGGACGGGGCACAGGCTGCACCAGGGCGGCAGAGGGAGCCACGGCAGAGCTGCTGGGCACCCCCTGCCCTGCAAAGCCATGCCTGGGTACCCTGCCATCTTACACAGGTCGCTTACTCAGTCACACACCCTTTGGCAGAGGGTCAGGAATGTATCCCCAGGGGCTGGCAAAAGAATAAATCCCTATATTGCAAAATTTGTGTCAACTAGAACCATCTGCAGTCTTACAAGGCCTTCAGAGCTCAAACATCGCAGCCTGTGGGTCTGTGTTTCTCATCTTGACCAGAAACATCCTTTTTCCGAGACCAAATTAACCCCACAATGTGTCCTGATCACTAATGTGGAGCAGACACTCCTTCACAGGGTCCAGCAGACACTGCAGATGCCTTTGGTTGTCTGCAGCATTTGAGTACCCACATCCCCAGCCAGACCACAGCAATAAGATACCAAGGGTGAGGCCCAAGTCAAATTTGCCCTGATGATTGATAACATCAGGTGAAGGCATGAAAAGGAAAGGCAGGGCAGGTAACACCGTCTAGCAGAGAAAAACTGGGATCACATTCAGCTGTGTTTGTTTCCTTGCATGATTTTTTTTTTAATTTCAGCTAGAACAAAATTAAATAGTTCAGTGTCTGTTTCCTGCAGAGTAAGATAATATAATTTATAAAAGCCAACAATAACTTTCCCCAAGAGCTTAGGATGTGTGTACAATGCGTGACATTCACGGAAAAGCCTTTAAATTGATTGTTTTGGAGAAAGGAAAGGCAAAGCTTGTTTTTTTCCCAGGCAGTAGGTGCCATTCACAATATTCTGTCGTGATGGGAAGTGTTCTTTTACTCTAAATAGGAGCAGCAACACTTCAAAACCTGGGAAGCCAGTTAGCTGAAGGACTGCAGTAAGGGGAGAATAACCCCTCTCCCCTCAGAGCCACCAGAGCTGCTGACAAAGCCCCTCCAGATGGGAGCATTTCTAGTCTTTGCAGAGACAGCCCAGAGCCTAAGAATCATAAACATGCTCATATACCAGGTCCAGACACCTAATTCAAGCAGACCAGGAGGAAAGCTGTGGCTTTGGACTTCAGCCATCACTAGAAACATGCTTTCAAACCCTCCCAGCCCATTCTTTCCCCACCCCAGGGCATCAGGGCTGCTGCAGCCCAACCACATCCAGCTTCTTCCTGAAGTCAGGCAGCAACTCCCAAGCTACAAGCCATTTATTCCAGCAGCGCTGGTATTGCTGTCAGAGAAATTCAGATCATCTTCCTGGAAAACTCAAGGGATTGTGCCAGGCTGGTTCTCCAACATCCAGATAATGGATTGACACTTCCAGTGTTAAATATTTCAGACACACACTGTACTGGGAAACACACACAGAAGCCACATCCACTTGCCAGATCAAAAACAGCTACTCAAAAGCTTATTCCCTGGTGGAGATGTCCTTCCCTCTTCCTCAGCTTTCCATGACCTTTTTCCACCTCCCACTCCTAGACAAGGGCAGAACATCACTCTCACTCTGCTTGTGCTTTCATTTATGCCAATCCAAGCACTGACTTCTTCCTGCAGTTCCTACTGTAGGAAGGATTTGAAGCAGGGCTGGGTGAGCTGTAAGACCATTTATAGATGCTGCAAAGATTCAATTTAAAAAAAATAATTATGTATGCAGATATTAATCAATTATTTGAGTTGAGGGAAGTCCCAACCATCTTAACTCCAACACAACTGATCTCCAGAACAGGCAATAGCTGCTCAGGGCAAGGGTTGTGTTCCCTTTGCCTTACACAGCAGCTTTCCCGGGCAAGCACAGGAGAGAAAAAACAGATCAGCCCTCAGTTACTGATTTGAATTTGACCCAGTGATTGGGACAGTGATAAGGGAAAATGTTAGGTTGCTATTGATGAGGGAAATGTTAAGTTGTAATGGGCATAGTTTAATAAGTGCAATTTCCCGGTTCGTGTGCTGTTGCTAAGCACTTCCTGGTTACATGAATATGTAAAACACGTACAATGAATATTTATAAGCTAACTCTATAAAAGGCAAGCTGTGACGGAAGAGTGGAGAGCGTGTGTTTTAGGCGGAGTTGTCCTCTGCGGGTTCGGCACCAAAATAAACAGATACCGGCTTAATAGCACGTGTGGCTATTGGGTTTTACTATCGCCTTTTTTCTCGGCATCAACAGAAACAGCCCTTTGTTGGCCTGACACTTCTGCCTCTCCTTGCAGAACAGGACTGGGATTTTGCATCCTCTCCTGCGGTTCCGTGACAGTCCCAGCGTCAGCCACTTGATGGCCGTCCTACTCTGCCGATGACTTCTGGCTGCACACTCGCTCTGTGAAAAACACCATGTGCCTTTAAACAGGAGGAAAAACGCACACCCCTCTTTAAATGCTCCGATGGGGTCTTTAACAGCCAGTGAAGGGAAACTGTAGTGGGAATTACCGGCTGTACCTGCCAGTAACTGAAGAAATCATCTGCCAATGTGTGTTCAGGACCTCAAGATAAAGGGAACTGAGATAAAGGTTGCCTAAGCCCCTGGAGACGGAAGAGACTACCAGGACCTGTGGACCACAGTCCTGTTTAAAGGGTTGGGACCATCCAGCCCAAATCCCAGGGGACTTCCCAAATCCCGGGGGCAGCCCAGCCACCTCACTGCCAAGCTTTCTGGGTGATGACTTCAGAAGTGGAGGGAGGAAAGGGACAGGAGGTAGAGGGGGCTTGCAGCCCAACATTGATCTAGTGTCCTGCTCTGCCCAGTTTCCTGATCTCCGTTAAAGGTGGAGCCACTTGTGCCCAGGTGTTCACACCAGCTAAAAACCATCCAAATTGTCTAATCTAGGACACATTCTTCCCTAGTGCATTCTGAGACCCCAGATCCATGTGCAAAGCCCATCTTCTGGCTCACTCTGGGCGCTGCATTCCCCTGGGTCTCCATGAACCACAGAGTATCAACCCACCTTCCTTCTCCATGTTCAGGGCAGCACAAATACCCCAGGTCACACCTCAGCCTGCAGCAGGAAACTTGAACTCAAGAACTCTTCTTACGGGCTCTGCACAGTCTCACAGACCTGTGGTGGGACAGTCTGGAGTCTGGCAATGTCTCTGGGTGAGCTCCTGGTCCTGTGGCAGCTGCAGCACAGGGCTTACTGCTGTGCCACCTCCTGGAGTGCTGAGCCTGGGAGGACACAGGGGTCACAGAGTGGGGCACCGTGTGGGGACACAGGGATAACTTTGGCTGTCCAGGCTGGAGAAGAGAAGGTTTTGGGGTGACCTTCCAGCCCCTTCCAGTGCCTAAAAGAGGCTCCAAGGGAGCTGGAGACAGATTTGGGACGAGGGCCTGGAGTGACAGGACAAGGGGGAATAGCTTCACACCGGCAGAGGGCAGGGTGACATTGGCAGTGACCCTGAAATGGGGTGAGAATGCTCGGGCAGCAGCTTGTCCTTTAGCCAAGGCGGCTTCTCCCAGGGAAAGCCCCAACCAGGGCTCAGCTTGTCCCACAAGCCTGGGGCCAGGGGTGCTGAGGGGGGAGCGTCCCGCTGCCTGCGGGACAGCCCAGGAAGGACACGGTCGGCTCGGCACACTCAGCACCACGCAGCTGAAGGACACCAGGGCTTTGGGCACGTTGTTGCAGCTTTATTCAGCCCCAGTCCTTTAGCCAAGGCAAGCTGCACCTCTGCCGGGCTCACGGCCAGCAGCAGCGCAGTGCTCGTAGGAAGCCTCTTGGTCGTTGCTGCACCCAAGGACTCCTTAGAACGGAGGTTGTCCGAGCTGCCAGGGAGCTGACAGAGATGTCCCAGTCTTTTTCCAAGGGCTGAAGTGCTGTGACGGAAAGAAACAGAGCCCAGATCAAACCCCCCGTCTGCAGAGAGCCTCTGGATTCCCGACAGACGGTGCTCCCCACTCACCGCTCAGGATGTCAGCCTGACTCTCCGTGGTCTGCTCCCTCAGGCGCCGTGTGATGAGTCCTGGGCACAGAGCTCCATTAGCCTCTGCTCCCCAGCCTGCTCCCAACAGCAGGGCCCCCAGTCCTCCCCTCCTCCCCCTCAGCACGGCTGAGCCCAGGAGCTCCCAGAAGCTCAGGGCAGTGGGACTGAGCAAGGTGGCCACCAAGCCCCGCTGCGTGGGCAGGGCTGGCAGAGGGAGGCAAGGCCCTGCCCAGGGTGGCCGGGCATTGCTGGGGCAGCAGCAGCACAGGGGCCAGGCTGCCCCAGAGGCACCGCAGGGGCTGGCACTCACCGATGAACCTGACGGCCGCCAGGCGCACGTTGGCCTGAGGGTCCTGCAGGTAGGGCAGGCTCTGGTGGATAAAATCTTCAGCCCTGCTCCTGCTGTTCTGAAGCTGCAGAGAGAACAAGGCATGTCTCTCCAGGGCTGGGGCAGTTGGCTGGAGCAGTGCCTCCTGCCAGCACCTCCTGGGACGGAGAGGCCTCCCCTCCTGCTGGCTACAGGGAGGGGACAGGGGCCTGCAGAAGAGCCCCTGGGGCTCTGTTCTTGAGGGCAGCAACAGGGATGCAGCTCCAGGCTCTGCCCAGCTGCAGAGCCCCCAGCCCAGACATGGGATGGGGGCAGCCCTCCCCCAGTCCGGGCTGCACAGCTTGTCCTTACCAAGCACGCTCCAAGCTCCCACAGCCGCTCTCTCTGCAGCAGGTGCTTGAGCGTCTTCCACTTCAGCAGCTCGGCGGCAGCAAGAAGGGCTTCCCTGGAGGCCTGCAGGACAGCATGAGCTCAGGGATGGACCGGGGGCCTGGGCAAGGAGGCCTCTTGGCTTTGTTCCTGGGGGGATCCTGCCTTTAGGAATCTGGGACATGCCCTAGCCCAAATGTCTGGGAGGCTTTTGGGGACAGCCCTGGGGGACAGGCATGGAGGCTCAAAGGCCTGGCCTCTGACACAGCCTGTGGGGATGCCCCTGTTCAGGCCGTGGTGGTCACGGGCTGCTGCCGAGCCCGGCAGGAGCAGGCAGGGCAGGGGTTGCACAGGGCCGTGCCAGCTTCTCTGGCCCTGCTGGCGCTGGCTCCGCACGGACCTTCCCACGGGCTGTGCTGGGGGAGCGCTGCCCGCTGCCAGCAGCCCCTGCCCCGATGCCCAGGGGCCCCGGGGGTGTCAGCCCAGCCCTCTGTGTGTCAGGGCTCAGCCTTCAAACCTGTACCTCGGCCACGCTGGGGACCTGGTCGTTCATGCGAAAGAGGAGAGGCACCAGTGCTCGCCACACCTCCTTCCTCATCCTCTTCTCATCCCTGCCGACCACGAACTGCAGCAGCTCTGCGAGCATGTGGATGGACAGCTCTCGCAGCTCGCTGCACTCCTGGCAGGAAGCAGGAAAAGGGAGCTTTGCAAACAGCAGCTCCCTGCCCACAGTGAAGAGGGCCCTGATCATGGCTGCGGGGAGGGCAGAGGCTCCGGCCTCACATCCCAGAAGAAGCAGCACTGGGCTGCACGGCCCAGAAGCCATCCCAGGAGAGCCCAGGGGAGCAGAGCTGGCTCCAAGTGCTGCTCGCAGGGCTGGGCTGCAGGGCAGCTGTCATTGCCCAGTGCCCATCTGAGGGGCTCAGGCTCCACATCAGCCTTACCGAGTCAAAGAGGGGCAGCAGCCTCCCCACAAGTTGCACAGCGATGAAGCTGGCCTTGCTCTTCTTCAGCTGACACAGAACGTTTCGCAAGGCCAGCAGGATCTTCATCTGGGCATCTTCGCTGCCAACTTGGAGGATCTTTATCATGCCCGGCAGGAAGAGTTCGATGTTTCTGGCCTGTAGAGAGAAGAGAATGTCCATTGGGTGAAGAGTGCCGTGCCTGAAAAGCTCCCCAGGCAGCCACCCCAGGCACACCGTGGCAGGGAGGGCGTTTGGAGCAGTCACCCCACGTTCTGAGTCCCAGGCCAGGCCAAGCCACTGCTTTCCACACAGCCCCAGCCCCCGTTTGCCGACAGGGCTGCCCCTGACACCGCCCTGCTCACCATCTCGGCTCTCTGTGACAGCCCGACGAGCCCTTCCAGCAGCAGCCCGGCTGTCCTGACGTTTGGACAGCCCTGATGGCTCTCGAGGTCGGGCTCGTCAGCCAACTCCTCCGACTCAGCCTTCCTGGAGGACGACTGCAGGAGCAAACAGAGCCGTGAGGGGCCGGCAGAGCCTGCAGGGCTGGCGGGAGGGGAGTAGGGCCTTTAGTGGTCACTCACAGCCATGGGCTGGGTGCGGGGGCCTTCTGCGGAGCAGCGGAAGCACTGTGTGCACAGCAGGTTGGCAAAGCCCTCCAAGATCTTGGCCAGCGTCTCCGGCATGGAGGACATCAGCTCCCACAGCTCCGGCGCAGTGCTGGAAGGCAGAGAAGGCAGAGCGCTGTCCGCAGGGCTGCCTCAGCCACAGGGCTGTGGCCTGGAGCAGCCCCCCAGAACCCACCCCTTGGAGCCCTGGCTGCGCGTCCCCGGGGGCCCTGCCCGCGCGGGCAGGAGGGGGCTGAGGGCGTGTTCCCCGTGGGGCTGGAGCACCGTGCTGGCTCTGGGCTGGCTGGGCCAGCTTTGGCTGCTGTGAAGCAGGGCTGGAAAGCAGGGGGGGATGGAGGGCCTGACTGCAGGCTGTCCCGCAGCATTCCTTGGCTCTGGCAGCCGGAGAGTCTCGGGGTCCCTCTCCCCACAGGGAACAAGCCCACCCTCAAGGCCATCAGGGCCAGTACCTGTCTCCTTGAAGAGCCGCCTTGCACAGGAGGATGACCACTGTGGTGGGGTACAGGTTGGTCATCAGGCGAAGCAGTGACTCCGCTCTCTCCCACGCTGCCTGTGTGCTGCAGTATGGCAGGCTCTCAAGGATGCTGCTGACGATCTTGGGCCCCTGCAGGGAATACAGGTGAGGATGGCACTGCCCCCGGAGTGCAGCCATGTGCTCAGTTGCCCTTCCCATTCCTCTCTGCTGCCTTGAGGTGGCTTGGGGGGCCCAAGTCACCTGTGCTTGGGAGGGAGGGATGCAGGGAGGAACAAGGCCCAAGAGGGCTGAAGGGCACGACAATGCAGCCACAGGCCACTTACGTCCGTCAGCCAGACGTCCGGGTCTTCCAAGGCCACATCCAGCAGGCTGCTGGGCACCTGCTGGTCGAGGATGCTGGCATCTCCCAACGCCTCGAGGGCCACGAGGATGATGTCTGTCCTCTCGTGGGACTGCAGGTATTTTCCAAAGGCCTATGGCAGCAAGGAAGGAAGACGTGTCACGCTGAGTGCCCTGACGGTGCTGCTTGGCTGAGCAGCTCGAGCGGCCCTGGCCGGACGTGCCCACCACTGCTGACAGCAGTGCCCGCAGCAAAGCTGGCAGCAGTGCCTGCAGTCCCTGCATGGCAAAGATGAGCAGAGAGGGCCCTCCTGCTGGGGGAGGAGGGCTCATGGGCACAGGTTGCTGGCCCCACTGAGAACCAGGGACTTGCTGGTGGCCAGGAGCACCGGAGCTCCTGCTGGGGCTGAAGTTGTTGCTGGGCCACTGGAATGCAGCCCTCATGCTGTCCCTGCTCAAGGACGGCGGGAACCCTCTCCCCAGGGAGCTGAGTGCACGCCAGCCCCACTGCTGCGGGGTCCTTTGGCTCACACCAGTGCCCTGCTGATGCCACGGACAGGAGTCCCAGCAAGGGCGCAGCTCCTTACCTTGGCACAGTCCCTGGGGCTCAGAGAACACAGCGCGGAGGTGGTCACGGCTTCCCGGTCGACTTGGTCTGCTCTGTCCTTTAGCCTGGATTCGACTAAACACCAGGGCAAACACACAAGAGTCAGGAAGGCAGAGCAGCTTTGCCAGCAAGCTCCCCAAACCGCCCTGGCATCTGCTGGCAAGGGGGCAGGACAGGAGCAGTCCAGGATTTTGGGAGGGCATCAGGAACAGCTTCTTGCTACAGGCACTGGAGGGACCAGCCAGGGTGGGGGATCTGCTCTTCCCCACCAGGGAAGACGTGGCTTTGGGACAGGGAAGTCAAGAGGGCCTTTGGCTGTGCGGCCCACAAACCAGCGGGCTGCAAGATCCTGAAAGGAAGGGGAGGAAGGAGAGCAGCAGCAAACAGATCCTGGCCTTGAGCAAAGCACTCAGGCTCTGCAGCAAAGTGGCAGCTGGGAAGCTCTGGGAAGCAGCTGGGAGGGGCAAAGGGGGTTAGGAAGCAGATCTCTCAGGAGATGTCTCTGTGCAGAGCAATGAAGCCCACCGCTGCTCTGCCTATTTTACTTACAGATGAACTCAGCCAGGGCAAAAAGAGCGTGGAAAGCTGCATAGCATGTCGGCTCCTCAGAGAACCGGAAAAGGATGAGCCGTCCCAGCAGCTTTCCTAGGAGCGGGAGCTGGATCTCCCCAGAGCAGACAGGTCCAGCAGTGCCTCTTCTGTCGTTGGCATGGGCCTGGATGAGGGAGGCATGAGCAGAAGGGCTGAGGGCACAAAGGTGGTGCCAAAGCCCTCCTCCCAAGAGTCTGCCCAGGGCTGGATTCCTGGAGAGACCAGGCTTTGCAGAGCCCTGCGTCCCCATCTCTCAGAGCAGCCATGTGGGCAGCAGCCCTGGCCTGGAGAGCAGCAGGGATGGGGGCATGGCCTGGCTGGAGGGGGCCTGGTCCTTACCTGCAGAGTGGAATAGTCCGACAGCACACAGGTCAGCACATCGATCCTTGCCATGGCCCTCTCCCTCACAGCCTCTCTCTCGCATCCGGTAAAGTCCAGCAGCAGCTGGGACAAGAGAAGCAGCGGGTGAGCCCTGGGAGCAGACTCCAACACCAGCAGCAGCACAGTTCCACTTCTGGGCCGCACTCGCCCCATCCCTCAAGGCTTCCTCTCCCCTCCAGCAAAGCCTGCAGTGGGGTGTCTGCCCCTGGATTCCCACCCAGGTTGGGCACAAAGGCCCAGAGCCAACCTCATGGCCAAGGAGGAGGGCAGGTGCCACCCTCTGCAGCCCCTGTGCTCCACGAGAGCCTGGGGCCAGCTCCTGCTTCCCCACAGGAGGTGGGCACCCTCCCTGCAGGGCACTCTGCCTGTACAGCACTGCTCTGGGCACCACTCAGTCAGGAGCGGGCAAACCCTCCCCTCCAGGCTGAGGAACAGCCCTGGGACTCCCCCCCTTTTGGCTTGTGCCAGACCTCCAAGATGCCCTGCAGCTCCTCGCTGACTCGAGAGGCCGGAAAGCTGAGCACCATTGTCCTCAGCATGCTGTCCATGGAGTTCAGGGTCTGCAAGGAACACAGAGAGCAATGGCAGTCATTCTGCTGTTCCTCCCAGCCCCAGGAGAGCCATCTGAACTCCCCCGTGCCACAGGAGGAGGAGGATGCCCACCTTTCCCGGGAGAGACATGGGCATAGACAATCTGCGGGGGCAGAGCAGCCTGTGGCACGGGATGCAGCCAGGCCCATGGGAAGGGGACAGAGGCACGAGGGGGGGAAGTACCCTGCCCTGCCTGGGATCCCTGCTCCTGTGGCAGCATGGGATAGCCAGGGAGCAGGCCAGAGGGGCTGGAGGCCCCTGGAGCTCAGCCAGCACTTACCTTGATGTAGAGGGCAAGGTCCCCTTTTGGCATTTCCTTCTCTGCAGGCAGCCAGAAGACACTCGAGAAGCACGCGCGGAGGAGGCTTTTGGCTTTGCCCTCCAGCGCTGTGTCCACCAAGCTGCAGGGAGAGGGCAGGACACGGGTTGCACACGGGTGCTGGGAGCAGCCCCTTGATGACTCATGCAGGTGGCATCAGACCTCTGGGCCAGGGGGCCCACGACAGATGGGCAGGTACCTCAATTTCTCCAGAGCCAGCATGGAAAGATGCCGGAGGTCTGTGCACAGCTGGTCCCTTGGCTCTTCTTCCAGCAGCGCCTGCAGAGCACAACCGGGATGGCACCTGCTGGCAGCTGCCAGCACCCAGGGTCTCCAGTCCCTGACCCGCCCCAGCGCTGTCCACACAGGCTGCTGGTGCCAGGGGGCTTTGCTCCCTTTGCCACATTGCCCAGAGTGCCCTCACCTTGATGTTCTCTGCCAGCTGGTACGTGTCACAAAGCAGATCCAGGCCCTGGGTCAGGCCGTGGCTCAAGGCGCTTCTGCACAGCACAGAGATGCTCCGGAGAAATGTGGCCTTGTCTCTCTCCTCCTGCCAGCCGGGGGACAGAGACACAAACACGGACTGTGAGTGGGCGGACACAGCCAGCGGGACCGCAGCACAGGGGGTGCAGTGCCCTGCGGGAGAAGCAGCCCTGCCCTGCCAGCAGCCCTCCAGCAGCCCGGCAGCACAGCCCCTGCCAGCAGACAGCAGCACAGCCCCCCTCCAGTTGGCCGCAGTTACCTTGTTGGGGCTGGTGACAAAGGCCAGGATGGCATCAACAGCTTCCTGCTCCTCCTTGTAGATGGGCAACCAGCTGGTGTCTAAGGGGGGAAAGAGCAGGGAGAGCTGCAGAGGGTCCAGCAAGAGGAGGGAGCAAAGGCTATCTGCCCTCCACCCAGCTCTCTGCCCACTGCCTTGGCACGGCCTTCCCTTGCAGCTCCTGGCTGGAGGGTGCCTGGCAGAGGAGCTGCCATGCCCAAGAAAGCCCCAGTGCCCCGGGCTGAGGAAGGCAATGGCAGACAGGCAGGAAAGGCCCAGGCTCCCACAGCACGGCTGCCTCCTGCCAGCCCAGCTGGCCCTCTCTGCCCACAGCCCAGAGCCCCTCTGCCCTGTCCTTCTTTGGGAGAGGCTGTGCTGGGGCCGCGCTCCAGCCCTGAGCAGTCCCAGCTTTCAGGCAACATCATGGCTGACCCCAGGACCCCCATTGTCAGCTGGCCAGGAAAGTGGGATCCTGGTGTGCTACAGGGTGTGGTGGTGGGCCCCAGCCCTGCCCAGCCCCACAAGGCCGCTCACTCACCGAGCTTGAGGGGCTGCATGGTGGTCACCTCGTAGGAGGACGGAAGCTGCAGACCTGGAGAGCGGCTCTCCTGGGAAGAGCTGTCTTCCATCCAGGCCTGCCTGGGGCAGGCGGGGGGTCTCCTCTCCATCCTGTGAATTAAAGAACACAGGGGAGCCTGCCTACGGAGGGCGTCCGAATGGTGGAGTCGAACACCCTCAGAAAAAATGCCGCGGCCAAATCGCCTCAGGCAAAGTGCCTCAGGCAAAAGGCCTCAGCAAAAGGCCTCAGCCAAAAGGCCGAGGCAAAGTGCCTCAGCCAAAAGGCCTCAGCAAAGTGCCTCAGCCAAAAGGCCAAGGCAAAGGGCCTCAGCCAAAAGGCCAAGGCAAAGGGCCTCGGCCAAAAGGCCTCAGCAAAGGGCCTCAGCCAAAAGGCCAAGGCAAAGTGCCTCAGCCAAAAGGTCAAGGCAAAGTGCCGCAGCCCAAAGGCCAAGGCAAAAGGCTTCAGCCAAAAGGCCTCGGCAAAGCACCTCAGCCCAAAAGCCAAGGCAAAGTGCCGCAGCCCAAAGGCCTCAGCAAAGGGCCTCAGCCAAAAGGTCTCAGCAAAAGGCCTCAGCCAAAAGGCTTCAGCAAAGTGCCTCAGCCCAAAGGCCAAGGCAAAGCGCCTCAGGCAAAGCACCTCGGCCAAAAGGCCTCGGCCCAAATGCCTCAGGCAAAAACGCTTTGGCAAAACGCCTCAGCAAAACTCCGCGTTCGCACGGGGCCACCAAGGGTCGTGGACAAGACGTGGACTGCAGTCGGGGGCTTCTCGCCAGCGCTGCACTCCTCTCCTATCCAGTCGCCGTCCTGACGGACACTGACCCACCGTGGGCCACGGTCGTGCTGAGCACACCTGCTGCAGTGGGTGTCACAAAGGGCCCCTCTGTGACCTGCTACCGGCCAATAGCAACAGGTCCCAGGGCTTGTTGACATGGCACCTGCCCCCAGCAACGGGTCCCAGGGAGCCACCACGCAGGCAGGAACAGGCAGGGTGTCCCTGGGGACACAGACCTGCCTCAGCCCTTGGCACTCAGCTGCCCTCAGAATGTCTCCAGACCCCACTTTGCTCTCATGTCTCCTCGGGACATCCCAAGGAGCCCCATGTTCAGACACCCCTGCGTGTCCCCAGGACATCCCTTTCCTGTCCCTACACTGCAGAGTCTGGCCTCTGAGCCCCTCAGTCACATTAAATGCATAACATTTGCTCAAGCTTAACAGAAACCATGGTTTTTGTCACCTTTTCTCTTTCTCCCACTGACCAGCAAGAGCTTTGCCCCACTCAACAGCTCTTCCAGCACCGCGCCGCTCAGGAGCCCTCCCAAGGCCTTCGCCGCACCCCAGGCCCCTGAGCGGCACCCTGAGCGGCCCCAGGGGTGGCTGAGTGGCCCTGCCAGGCTGGCGGAGTCCTGGGGGGGCTTAGGGCGGAAGGGGGGAGGATGGCACCCAGGGGGATCCAGCTGGAAGGGCTGGGATCCTCAGCGTGCTGGGACCTGTCGTCCTCTGGCACAGCCCAGCTGAGCAACCGCATTGGTCCATCTGAGGGGCCAGGAGCTGTAGTCCTGCTGTTCTTGCCTCAGTTCTGTGTCTCTTCTGCAGAATCAGACCAAAGAAGCCCCCAGAAGCCCAAAGGGCCCTGGAACAGCCCCTCTCTGACAGCCCCAGAGGTGCCCTGGAGCTGCTGCCCAGTGTGACCTCACTCAGGCACCTTCAGAGCCCCGCTCTGCCCTGGGGGGCTGGTGTGGGCGTCCGCGCTGCCTGGGGACAGCCAATGGGGACAACTGGCAGTCCAGGAAAGACGTGGGCAAGGCCATCTTGGCAAAGAGTCCCTCCACTTTGAATTTCCATCCCATCCCCTCAGGACTTGTTCATTTTCCCTTCCGGGCCCTCCAGGCCTAGAGCTCTCCTCAGACCCACAAGTCCTATATGAACCCTCTCTTGTGCTGGGGCTGCCTCAGCCTGGGCCATTTGCCCCCTCAGCACCCTAAGGCACCTTTTGATGTGCTCCAGAGGCCACAGTTTGTCCCCTGGTCCCCACAGTACCCCTCCATCCTCCTCCTTGCACCCTCCCTTGGCCCTCGATGGACACAAAAGCCCACGGTTTGCTCTTCTGCAGCCAGGAGAGGCCTCTTGGCCACAGTCCCACCACAGGACTCCTCCACCTGCCCTGCAGCTGTCTTCAGGCCACATCATACAATCACAGAACCATTTAGGTTGGCAAAGACCTGCAAAATCATCGAGTCCCAACTTGCACCCATCCCCACCTTGTCCACTAGAGCAGAGCACTGAGGGAGTGCCACATCCAGTCTTGTCTTGGATACCTCCAGGGACAGGGATTTCACCACCTCTCCGGGCAGTCCCTTCCAATGCCTGACAACCATTTCCATCAAGAAAAGCTTCCTCATGATCACACACAAAGCCTCCTGAGGCCTTCAGTGCACCCCAGGCCCCCCAGCAGAAACCACCCTGCCAGGGCTTTCCATGCCACAAGTGTAAAACAGAGCTCTTCACTCATTTCCAGCTTCAAGCTCTGGAGCCCCAGCACTTCCCAGGAGCTCTGGGATCCTCTGCAGCCCACTCAGGGCTGAGCATTCCTTCCTGATTCCATCCTTCTATGCCTAGGGGGTCCACCGGAGACCCTTTGAGGCCGCACAGCTGCAATGCAGGGCTCAATGGGGCATTTTGGGGTACCAGAGATGGAATTTGGAGTCCACCAAGGAAATGTGGGACTCTGCAGCTACAATTCAAGGGCTTGCTGCTGTGCCACCTCCTTGGGTGCTGAGCCTGGGAGGACACAGGGGTCACAGAGTGGGGCACCGTGTGGGGACACAGGGATAACTTTGGCTGCCCAGGCTGGAGAAGAGAAGGTTTTGGGGTGACCTTCCAGCCCCTTCCAGTGCCTAAAAGAGGCTCCAAGGGAGCTGGAGACAGATTTGGGACGAGGGCCTGGAGTGACAGGACAAGGGGGAATAGCTTCACACCGGCAGAGGGCAGGGTGACATTGGCAGTGACCCTGAAATGGGGTGAGAATGCTCGGGCAGCAGCTTGTCCTTTAGCCAAGGCGGCTTCTCCCAGGGAAAGCCCCAGCCAGGGCTCAGCTTGTCCCACAAGGCTGGGGCCAGGGGTGCTGAGGGGGGAGCGTCCCGCTGCCTGCGGGACAGCCCAGGAAGGACACGGTCGGCTCGGCACACTCAGCACCACGCAGCTGAAGGACACCAGGGCTTTGGGCACGTTGTTGCAGCTTTATTCAGCCCCAGTCCTTTAGCCAAGGCAAGCTGCACCTCTGCCGGGCTCACGGCCAGCAGCAGCGCAGTGCTCGTAGGAAGCCTCTTGGTCGTTGCTGCACCCAAGGACTCCTTAGAACGGAGGTTGTCCGAGCTGCCAGGGAGCTGACAGAGATGTCCCAGTCTTTTTCCAAGGGCTGAAGTGCTGTGACGGAAAGAAACAGAGCCCAGATCAAACCCCCGTCTGCAGAGAGCCTCTGGATTCCCGACAGACGGTGCTCCCCACTCACCGCTCAGGATGTCAGCCTGACTCTCCGTGGTCTGCTCCCTCAGGCGCCGTGTGATGAGTCCTGGGCACAGAGCTCCATTAGCCCCTGCTCCCCAGCCTGCTCCCAACAGCAGGGCCCCCAGACCTACCCTCCTCCCCCTCAGCACGGCTGAGCCCAGGAGCCCCCAGAAGCTCAGGGCAGTGGGACTGAGCAAGGCGGCCACCAAGCCCCGCTGCGTGGGCAGGGCTGGCAGAGGGAGGCAAGGCCCTGCCCAGGGTGGCCGGGCATTGCTGGGGCAGCAGCAGCACAGGGGCCAGGCTGCCCCAGAGGCACCGCAGGGGCTGGCACTCACCGATGAACCTGACGGCTGCCAGGCGCACGTTGGCCTGAGGGTCCTGCAGGTAGGGCAGGCTCTGGTGGATGAAATCTTCAGCCCTGCTCCTGCTGTTCTGAAGCTGCAGAGAGAACAAGGCATGTCTCTCCAGGGCGGTCACTGGGGCAGTTGGCTGGAGCAGTGCCTCCTGCCAGCACCTCCTGGGACGGAGAGGCCTCCCCTCCTGCTGGCTACAGGGAGGGGACAGGGGCCTGCAGAAGAGCCCCTGGGGCTCTGTTCTTGAGGGCAGCAACAGGGATGCAGCTCCAGGCTCTGTCCAGCTGCAGAGCCCCCAGCCCAGACATGGGATGGGGGCAGCCCTCCCCCAGTCCGGGCTGCACAGCTTGTCCTTACCAAGCACGCTCCAAGCTCCCACAGCCGCTCTCTCTGCAGCAGGTGCTTGAGCGTCTTCCACTTCAGCAGCTCGGCGGCAGAAAGAAGGGCTTCCCTGGAGGCCTGCAGGACAGCATGAGTTCAGGGATAGCCCGGGGGCCTGGGCAAGGAGGCCTCTTGGCTTTGTTCCTGGGGGGATCCTGCCTTTAGGAATCTGGGACATGCCCTAGCCCAAATGTCTGGGAGGCTTTTGGGGACAGCCCTGGGGGACAGGCATGGAGGCTCAAAGGCCTGGCCTCCGACACAGCCTGTGGGGATGCCCCTGTTCAGGCCGTGGTGGTCACGGGCTGCTGCCGAGCCCGGCAGGAGCAGGCAGGGCAGGGGTTGCACAGGGCCGTGCCAGCTTCTCTGGCCCTGCTGGCGCTGGCTCCGCACGGACCTTCCCACGGGCTGTGCTGGGGGAGCGCTGCCCGCTGCCAGCAGCCCCTGCCCCGATGCCCAGGGCCCTGGGGGTGTCAGCCCAGCCCTCTGTGTGTCAGGGCTCAGCCTTCAAACCTGTACCTCGGCCACGCTGGGGACCTGGTCGCTCATACGAAAGAGGAGAGGCACCAGTGCTCGCCACACCTCCTTCCTCATCCTCTTCTCATCCCTGCCGACCACGAACTGCAGCAGCTCTGCGAGCATGCGGATGGACAGCTCTCGCAGCTCGCTGCACTCCTGGCAGGAAGCAGGAAAAGTGAGCTTTGCAAACAGCAGCTCCCTGCCCACAGTGAAGAGGGCCCTGATCATGGCTGCAGGGAGGGCAGAGGCTCCGGCCTCACATCCCAGAAGAAGCAGCACTGGGCTGCACGGCCCAGAAGCCATCCCAGGAGAGCCCAGGGGAGCAGAGCTGGCTCCAAGTGCTGCTCGCAGGGCTGGGCTGCAGGGCAGCTGTCATTGCCCAGTGCCCATCTGAGGGGCTCAGGCTCCACATCAGCCTTACCGAGTCAAAGAGGGGCAGCAGCCTCCCCACAAGTTGCACAGCGATGAAGCTGGCCTTGCTCTTCTTCAGCTGACACAGAACGTTTCGCAAGGCCAGCAGGATCTTCATCTGGGCATCTTCGCTGCCAACTTGGAGGATCTTTATCATGCCCGGCAGGAAGAGTTCGATGTTTCTGGCCTGTAGAGAGAAGAGAATGTCCATTGGGTGAAGAGTGCCGTGCCTGAAAAGCTCCCCAGGCAGCCACCCCAGGCACACCGTGGCAGGGAGGGCGTTTGGAGCAGTCACCCCACGTTCTGAGTCCCAGGCCAGGCCAAGCCACTGCTTTCCACACAGCCCCAGCCCCCGTTTGCCGACAGGGCTGCCCCTGACACCGCCCTGCTCACCATCTCGGCTCTCTGTGACAGCCCGACGAGCCCTTCCAGCAGCAGCCCGGCCGTCCTGACGTTTGGACAGCCCTGATGGCTCTCGAGGTCGGGCTCGTCAGCCAACTCCTCCGACTCAGCCTTCCTGGAGGACGACTGCAGGAGCAAACAGAGCCGTGAGGGGCCGGCAGAGCCTGCAGGGCTGGCGGGAGGGGACCAGGGCCTTTAGTGGTCACTCACAGCCATGGGCTGGGTGCGGGGGCCTTCTGCGGAGCAGCGGAAGCACTGTGTGCACAGCAGGTTGGCAAAGCCCTCCAAGATCTTGGCCAGCGTCTCCGGCATGGAGGACATCAGCTCCCACAGCTCCGGCGCAGTGCTGGAAGGCAGAGAAGGCAGAGCGCTGTCCGCAGGGCTGCCTCAGCCACAGGGCTGTGGCCTGGAGCAGCCCCCCAGAACCCACCCCTTGGAGCCCTGGCTGCGCGTCCCCGGGGGCCCTGCCCGCGCGGGCAGGAGGGGGCTGAGGGCGTGTTCCCCGTGGGGCTGGAGCACCGTGCTGGCTCTGGGCTGGCTGGGCCAGCTTTGGCTGCTGTGAAGCAGGGCTGGAAAGCAGGGGGGGATGGAGGGCCTGACTGCAGGCTGTCCCGCAGCATTCCTTGGCTCTGGCAGCCGGAGAGTCTCGGGGTCCCTCTCCCCACAGGGAACAAGCCCACCCTCAAGGCCATCAGGGCCAGTACCTGTCTCCTTGAAGAGCCGCCTTGCACAGGAGGATGACCACTGTGGTGGGGTACAGGTTGGTCATCAGGCGAAGCAGTGACTCCGCTCTCTCCCACGCTGCCTGTGTGCTGCAGTATGGCAGGCTCTCAAGGATGCTGCTGACGATCTTGGGCCCCTGCAGGGAATACAGGTGAGGATGGCACTGCCCCCGGAGTGCAGCCATGTGCTCAGTTGCCCTTCCCATTCCTCTCTGCTGCCTTGAGGTGGTTTGGGGGGCCCAAGTCACCTGTGCTTGGGAGGGAGGGATGCAGGGAGGAACAAGGCCCAAGAGGGCTGAAGGGCACGACAATGCAGCCACAGGCCACTTACGTCCGTCAGCCAGACGTCCGGGTCTTCCAAGGCCACATCCAGCAGGCTGCTGGGCACCTGCTGGTCGAGGACGCTGGCATCTCCCAACGCCTCGAGGGCCACGAGGATGATGTCTGTCCTCTCGTGGGACTGCAGGTATTTTCCAAAGGCCTATGGCAGCAAGGAAGGAAGACGTGTCACGCTGAGTGCCCTGACGGTGCTGCTTGGCTGAGCAGCTCGAGCGGCCCTGGCCGGACGTGCCCACCACTGCTGACAGCAGTGCCCGCAGCAAAGCTGGCAGCAGTGCCTGCAGTCCCTGCATGGCAAAGATGAGCAGAGAGGGCCCTCCTGCTGGGGGAGGAGGGCTCATGGGCACAGGTTGCTGGCCCCACTGAGAACCAGGGACTTGCTGGTGGCCAGGAGCACCGAAGCTCCTGCTGGGGCTGAAGCTGCTGCTGGGCCACTGGAATGCAGCCCTCATGCTGTCCCTGCTCAAGGACGGCGGGAACCCTCTCCCCAGGGAGCTGAAGGCGCGCCAGCCCCACTGCTGCGGGGTCCTTTGGCTCACACCAGTGCCCTGCTGGTGCCACGGACAGGAGTCCCAGCAAGGGCGCAGCTCCTTACCTTGGCACAGTCCCTGGCGCTCAGAGAACACAGCGCGGAGGTGGTCACGGCTTCCCAGTGGACTTGGTCTGCTCTGTCCTTTAGCCTGGATTCGACTAAACACCAGGGCAAACACACAAGAGTCAGGAAGGCAGAGCAGCTTTGCCAGCAAGCTCACCAAACCGCCCTGGCATCTGCTGGCAAGGGGGCAGGACAGGAGCAGTCCAGGATTTTGGGAGGGCATCAGGAACAGCTTCTTGCTACAGGCGCTGGAGGGGCCAGCAAGGGTGGGGGATCTGCTCTTCCCCACCAGGGAAGACGTGGCTTTGGGACAGGGAAGTCCAGAGGGCCTTTGGCTGTGGGGCCCACAAACCAGCGGGCTGCAAAATCCTGAAAGGAAGGGGAGGAAGGAGAGCAGCAGCAAACAGATCCTGGCCTTGAGCAAAGCACTCAGGCTCTGCAGCAAAGTGGCAGCTGGGAAGCTCTGGGAAGCAGCTGGGAGGGGCAAAGGGGGTTAAGAAGCAGATCTCTCAGGAGATGTCTGTGTGCAGAGCAATGAAGCCCACCGCTGCTCTGCCATTTTACTTACAGATGAACTCAGCCAGGGCAAAAAGAGCGTGGAAAGCTGCATAGCATGTCGGCTCCTCAGAGAACCGGAAAAGGATGAGCCGTCCCAGCAGCTTTCCTAGGAGCGGGAGCTGGATCTCCCCAGAGCAGACAGGTCCAGCAGTGCCTCTTCTGTCGTTGGCATGGGCCTGGATGAGGGAGGCATGAGCAGAAGGGCTGAGGGCACAAAGGTGGTGCCAAAGCCCTCCTCTCGAGAGTCTGCCCAGGGCTGGATTCCTGGAGAGACCAGGCTTTGCAGAGCCCTGCGTCCCCGTCTCTCAGAGCAGCCATGTGGGCAGCAGCCCTGGCCTGGAGAGCAGCAGGGATGGGGGCATGGCCTGGCTGGAGGGGGCCTGGTCCTTACCTGCAGAGTGGAATAGTCCGACAGCACGCAGGTCAGCACATCGATCCTTGCCATGGCCCTCTCCCTCACAGCCTCTCTCTCGGATCCGGTAAAGTCCAGCAGCAGCTGGGACAAGAGAAGCAGCGGGTGAGCCCTGGGAGCAGACTCCAACACCAGCAGCAGCACAGCTCCACTTCTGGGCCGCACTCGCCCCATCCCTCAAGGCTTCCTCTCCCCTCCAGCAAAGCCTGCAGTGGGGTGTCTGCCCCTGGATTCCCACCCAGGTTGGGCACAAAGGCCCAGAGCCAACCTCATGGCCAAGGAGGAGGGCAGGTGCCACCCTCTGCAGTCCCTGTGCTCCACGAGAGCCTGGGGCCAGCCCCTGCTTCCCCACAGGAGGTGGGCACCCTCCCTGCACGGCACTCTGCCTGTACAGCACTGCTCTGGGCACCACTCAGCCAGGAGCGGGCAAACCCTCCCCTCCAGGCTGAGGAACAGCCCTGGGACTCCCCCCCTTTTGGCTTGTGCCAGACCTCCAAGATGCCCTGCAGCTCCTCGCTGACTCGAGAGGCAGGAAAGCTGAGCACCATTGTCCTCAGCATGCTGTCCATGGAGTTCAGGGTCTGCAAGGAACACAGAGAGCAATGACAGTCATTCTGCTGTTCCTCCCAGCCCCAGGAGAGCCATCTGAACCCCCCGTGCCACAGGAGGAGGAGGATGCCCACACTTCCCGGGAGAGACATGGGCATAGACAATCTGCGGGGGCAGAGCAGCCTGTGGCACGGGATGCAGCCAGGCCCATGGGAAGGGGACAGAGGCACGAGGGGGGGAAGTACCCTGCCCTGCCTGGGATCCCTGCTCCTGTGGCAGCATGGGATAGCCAGGGAGCAGGCCAGAGGGGCTGGAGGCCCCTGGAGCTCAGCCAGCACTTACCTTGATGTAGAGGGCAAGGTCCCCTTTTGGCATTTCCTTCTCTGCAGGCAGCCAGAAGACACTCGAGAAGCACGCGCGGAGGAGGCTTTTGGCTTTGCCCTCCAGCGCTGTGTCCACCAAGCTGCAGGGAGAGGGCAGGACACGGGTTGCACACGGGTGCTGGGAGCAGCCCCTCGACGACTCGTGCGGGTGGCATCAAACCTCTGGGCCAGGGGGCCCACGACAGATGGGCAGGTACCTCAATTTCTCCAGAGCCAGCATGGAAAGATGCCGGAGGTCTGTGCACAGCTGGTCCCTTGGCTCTTCTTCCAGCAGCGCCTGCAGAGCACAACCGGGATGGCACCTGCTGGCAGCTGCCAGCACCCAGGGCCTCCAGTCCCTGACCCACCCCAGCGCTGTCCGCACAGGCAGCCGGTGCCAGGGGGCTTTGCTCCCTTTGCCACATTGCCCAGAGTGCCCTCACCTTGATGTTCTCTGCCAGCTGGTACGTGTCACAAAGCAGATCCAGGCCCTGGGTCAGGCCGTGGCTCAAGGCGCTTCTGCACAGCACAGAGATGCTCCGGAGAAATGTGGCCTTGTCTCTCTCCTCCTGCCAGCCGGGGGACAGAGACACAAACACGGACTGTGAGTGGGCGGACACAGCCAGCGGGACCGCAGCACAGGGGGTGCAGTGCCCTGCGGGAGAAGCAGCCCTGCCCTGCCAGCAGCCCTCCGGCAGCCCGGCAGCACAGCCCCTGCCAGCAGACAGCAGCACAGCCCCCCTCCAGTTGGCCGCAGTTACCTTGTTGGGGCTGGTGACAAAGGCCAGGATGGCATCGACAGCTTCCTGCTCCTCCTTGTAGATGGGCAACCAGCTGGTGTCTAAGGGGGGAAAGAGCAGGGAGAGCTGCAGAGGGTCCAGCGAGAGGAGGGAGCAAAGGCTATCTGCCCTCCACCCAGCTCTCTGCCCACTGCCTTGGCACGGCCTTCCCTTGCAGCTCCTGGCTGGAGGGTGCCTGGCAGAGGAGCTGCCATGCCCAAGAAAGCCCCAGTGCCCCAGGCTGAGGAAGGCAATGGCAGACAGGCAGGAAAGGCCCAGGCTCCCACAGCACGGCTGCCTCCTGCCAGCCCAGCTGGCCCTCTCTGCCCACAGCCCAGAGCCCCTCTGCCCTGTCCTTCTTTGGGAGAGGCTGTGCTGGGGCCGCGCTTCAGCCCTGAGCAGTCCCAGCTTTCAGGCAACATCATGGCTGACCCCAGGACCCCCATTGTCAGCTGGCCAGGAAAGTGGGATCCTGGTGTGCTACAGGGTGTGGTGGTGGGCCCCAGCCCTGCCCAGCCCCACAAGGCCCCTCACTCACCGAGCTTGAGGGGCTGCATGGTGGTCACCTCGTAGGAGGACGGAAGCTGCAGACCTGGAGAGCGGCTCTCCTGGGAAGAGCTGTCTTCCATCCAGGCCTGCCTGGGGCAGGCGGGGGGTCTCCTCTCCATCCTGTGAATTAAAGAACACAGGGGAGCCTGCCTACGGAGGGCGTCCGAATGGTGGAGTCGAACACCCTCAGAAAAAATGCCGCGGCCAAATCACCTCAGGCAAAGGGCCTCAGGCAAAAGGCCTCAGCAAAAGGCCTCAGCCAAAAGGCCGAGGCAAAGTGCCTCAGCCAAAAGGCCTCAGCAAAGCGCCTCAGCCCAAAGGCCGAGGCAAAACACCTCAGGCAAAGCGCCTCGGCCAAAAGGCCTCGGCCCAAATGCCTCAGGCAAAAACGCTTTGGCAAAATGCCTCAGCAAAACTCCGCGTTCGCACGGGGCCACCTGGGGTCGTGGACAAGATGTGGACTGCAGTCGGGGGCTTCTCGCCAGCGCTGCACTCCTCTCCTATCCAGTCGCCGTCCTGACGGACACTGACCCACTGTCGGCCACGGTCGTGCTGAGCACACCTGCTGCAGTGGGTGTCACAAAGGGCCCCTCTGTGACCTGCTACCGGCCGCTAGCCACAGGTCCCAGGGCTTGTTGACATGGCACCTGCCCCCAGCAACGGGTCCCAGGGAGGCACCACGCAGGCTGGAACAGGCAGGGTGTCCCTGGGGACACAGACCTGCCTCAGCCCTTGGCACTCAGTTGCCGTCAGAATGTCTCCAGACCCCACTTTGCTCTCATGTCTCCTCGGGACATCCCAAGGAGCCCCATGTTCAGACACCCCTGCGTGTCCCCAGGACATCCCTTTCCTGTCCCCACACTGCATAGTCTGGCCTCTGAGCCCCTCAGTCACATTAAATGCATAACGTTTGCTCAAGCTTAACAGAAACCATGGTTTTTGTCATCTTTTCTCTTTCTCCCACTGACCAGAAAGAGCTTTGCCCCACTCAACAGCTCTTCCAGCACCGCGCCGCTCAGGAGCCCTCCCAAGGCCTTCGCCGCACCCCAGGCCCCTGAGCGGCACCCTGAGCTGCCCCAGGGGTGGTTGAGTGGCCCTGCCAGGCTGTGGAGTCCTGGGGGGCTTAGGGCGGAAGGGGGGAGGATGGCACCCAGGGGGATCCAGCTGGAAGGGCTGGGATCCTCAGCGTGCCGGGAGCTGTCGTCTTCTGGCACAGCCCAGCTGAGCAACCGCATTGGTCCATCTGAGGGGCCAGGAGCTGTAGTCCTGCTGTTCTTGCCTCAGTTCTGTGTCTCTTCTACAAAATCAGACCAAAGAAGCCCCCAGAAGCCCAAAGGGCCCTGGAACAGCCCCTCTCTGACAGCCCCAGAGGTGCCCTGGAGCTGCTGCCCAGTGTGACCTCGCTCAGGCACCTTCCGAGCCCCGCTCTGCCCTGGGGGGCTGGTGTGGGCGTCCGCGCTGCCCGGGGACAGCCAGTGGGGACAACTGGCAGTCCAGGAAAGACGTGGGCAAGGCTATCTTGGCAAAGAGTCCCCCCACTTTGAATTTCCATCCCATCCCCTCAGGACTTGTTCATTTTCCCTTCCGGGCCCTCCAGGCCTAGAGCTCTCCTCAGACCCACAAGTCCTCTCTGAACCCTCTCTTGTGCTGGGGCTGCCTCAGCCTGGGCCATTTGCCCCCTCAGCACCCTAAGGCACCTTTTGATGTGCTCCAGAGGCCACAGTTTGTCCCCTGGTCCCCACAGTACCCCTCCATCCTCCTCCTCGCACCCTCTGTTGGCCCTCGATGGACACAAAAGCCCACGGTTTGCTCTTCTGCAGCCAGGAGAGGCCTCTTGGCCACAGTCCCACCACAGGACTCCCCCACCTGCCCTGCAGCTGTCTTCAGGCCACATCATACAATCACAGAACCATTTAGGTTGGCAAAGACCTGCAAAATCATCGAGTCCCAACTTGCACTCATCCCCACCTTGTCCACTAGAGCAGAGCACTGAGGGAGTGCCATGTCCAGTCTTGTCTTGGATACCTCCAGGGACGGGGATTTCACCACCTCTCCGGGCAGCCCCTTCCAATGCCTGACAACCATTTCCATCAAGAAAAGCTTTCTCATGATCACACACAAAGCCTCCTGAGGCCTTCAGTGCACCCCAGGCCCCGCAGCAGAACCCCTCCTCTCCCCCCGAGTGAGTAACAGCCCTCAGACACTCCCCCTTTTGGCTTGTGCCAGACCTCCAAGATGCCCTGCAGCTCCTCGCTGACTTGAGAGGCAGGAAAGCTGAGCACCATTGTCCTCAGCATGCTGTCCATGGAGTTCAGGGTCTGCAAGGAACACAGAGAGCAATGGCAGTCATTCTGCTGTTCCTCCCAGCCCCAGGAGAGCCATCTGAACCCCCCATGCCACAGGAGGAGGAGGATGCCCACACTTCCCGGGAGAGACATGGGCATAGACAATCTGCGGGGGCAGAGCAGCCTGTGGCATGGGATGCAGCCAGGCCCAGGGGAAGGGGACAGAGGCACGAGGGGGGGGAAGTACCCTGCCCTGCCTGGGATCCCTGCTCCTGTGGCAGCATGGGATAGCCAGGGAGCAGGCCAGAGGGGCTGGAGGCCCCTGGAGCTCAGCCAGCACTTACCTTGATGTAGAGGGCAAGGTCCCCTTTTGGCATTTCCTTCTCTGCAGGCAGCCAGAAGACACTCGAGAAGCACGCGCGGAGGAGGCTTTTGGCTTTGCCCTCCAGCGCTGTGCCCACCAAGCTGCAGGGAGAGGGCAGGACACGGGTTGCACACGGGTGCTGGGAGCAGCCCCTCGACGACTCGTGCGGGTGGCATCGGACCTCTGGGCCAGGGGGCCCATTAGGGATGGGTGAAACCCGCCCCTGGAATGCCACATGTTCCTTCATCTTCATTTTCTCTGCCAGATTATTTATATGGCAGAAGACATCCAGGCCCTGGTACAAAACAGACAGGTCTATGCAGGAAGGTGACCAGTCGAGTTTTCTGGATGCTCTGGCTGCCCTGTGAGCCAAGCCAGCTCACAGGGCAGCTGCAGACCAGGCTGAATATATGCGAGCACCTGCATCTCACTCAGAGTGACCACAGGGTTTGACAGCCCCCCCAGCTTTTCTTTTCCAAACTCCTAGCCACCCTGGCAGGAAAATCCCTTTTCAGACACACCACTTCAGGCAGCAGCAACTCTCAAGAATGGCTCTGGCTGCGAACATGCCCTTTGCTCTGCAATGCCCTTCCCCTGCAGGGCAAGCACAAGCGGAGTGCTGGACATTTAAAGCTCCCACAAACCCCCAGAGTCACCCACCCACACAAATGGCAGGCCTGGCACTACAGTGTGGGAGCAAACAGACTTCCCTTGGGCTTTACAGCTGCTCTCAGCCCCCTTGGTCAGGGACAGGGGGTCCCTGCCCTGGAGGGACCTTTTTTTCATGCAAGGGTTTTAAAAAATTACAAAAAAAATAAAGTAAAAAAAAATAGAGAAGACAAAGCTCTTTGGCCTATCAGCCCTTCTCCATCCCATAGCAGTCTGCTCCTGCAGAGGTTGGATATTTATTAAGTAATGACCTCAACTGCATCACCAAGTGCTGCTCCACTGTACAAGGCCAGATCGGGCTGTACAGCTGATTTACTCCAGGGGAGGTTGGGCAGCATAACCTGTAGTACCTCTGCATAAGAACATTAGAATCACAGGCAGTAATTCAGAGGTCAGAAAAGCCACAGCACACTAAATTCAGAGCCTCCACCCAGAGATGGGGGAGCACTTCCAGGAGAAAATATTATTACTGCTACCACTGATAAAAGTAGCTTTACTAAACTCATAAAAAACAATTACTGTTGGAGTTGAAAAATAATGAAGTAGATAAATCATTTACAGGGTATCTGCAAAGTGAAGAGGGGGAGAGGGCCTGTTAAAAACCCTGTCAACTGTGACTGCTCTGAAGCAGCCCCCAGAGCCTGCAGCAGCCTTCAGTCAGGTCTACATTATTTAATTGGTTTCAAGTGATTTTCTGGACTGTTAATCACCATGAGGTAATTAAAAACCCAGGCAGCATGTTGAGTGCTATAGCACACTAGAGATGTTAAACCCCTGAGAGTTCCTGTAATAGTAAGGGCTGTTCCCCTCATTTGGAGTGTGAAACACCCTGAGAAGAGATGTCTGCAAGTGTCTGAAGCAGAGGGGATGGAGGGCAAGTGGCCACCAAGAGCGTGCTGAGGAGACAAGATGAAATATTCATGCACATTCTGAAAAACATCTACTATTCATGAAAATACAGATTTTTAAAAGCCATGAATTTTGGAAGGGACAGAAGTTCTCATTCTTACAGGCATAAGCTGTCTTATTAAAAAGAGGAGGAAAAAACCAGAAAAATGAAGTTTTGTTTCACAGTTTGAGTTTTTTAAGTCCTCACTAAATGATTTGTGGTTTCCAAGTTCCTCATGGTTTAATGCATCTTTTTCTCATTTCTCAGGAACCAGCTAAAATGTTTAATAAAGCCCAGCCATGCTTTCACCCCTGTGCGCCCAGTGGGGTAAGATAACTTCATCATTCCAACAATCTTTTTGATAAGTTTTCAAAATTACTGGTTTTTGCTCAAGAAGCCCAAACTGATGCCAATGCATGCAGAGAGACATGCACTTAAAGATACTGATGGCATCAATACTCATGCCCTCTCCCAGGAGTTTGGTGTTATATCTACCTGGTTTGTTTTTTTCCCCATAAGCCATTCCCAAGTGGTTCCCTCTCTCAAAACACACTGCTCAGGAAGTCTCAATCACAAGTCCCACATGGTCTCAAATGAAGGATTACCCCTCGTTTCATCTTGTTACAGGGCCTTCTTGCTGGGATCCTGGTCACAGCCAAGGACCCTACATGATGCTGTAATATGTGTATCGCCAAAACTTAAACCACATGTTACATGTATGACTCAAACCAGGCAAAACTACCATTTAATTCCAGAGGAGATGCCCAGTCCAGAGACTCCACCCATCCCAGATGAGCATACTGAAGTCCTAGCCTAGCCCTTGCAGCATCCCCCTCAAGCTGTGCTACTTTGGAAACAGAAAGCTGCCAAGAGAGTTGTTGGGTACCTGCTGGATCAGTGTTAAGAGGCAGGACTGTGGTGACCAGTGAAGATGGGATAGAGACTGCAAGCTCTGCTGGATACTGGAGAATATCTCTTCCCTGGAAAGGCACCATCAAAGCAGCTTCATCTGCTTAAAGACCTTCTGCAACACGATCCTAAAACCACAATACTTCATCCCGTGGCTTTCTGCTGCTTCCCTTTTTTTGGCTTAACTTTCATTTTTATCCCATTGCCAATACAGCAAAACCTTGGCAGCACGGATTTGTCAGAGTTCTCAGAGAAGTGCTGATGGTTGTTTAAAGGACCTCATCTAGCAGATGTAGCTGACATTGGTGTAAGGAACTAACACAGAGCACACAGTCAGCTCAAGTCACTCTTCCACTTTGTACAGTGACTTTGAGAGGATCAAGGTGGAAACTAGATTGTTTCATCACTCCCCTGGCTGCAGCTGAGGTTCACAGTAATGCAATCACTCCTTTGGCAGCTCGGGAGGCAGGAGGAATATTTCCACAGGAAACAGCAATTTTAAAATAGTAGCATACTTCCAAATCAAGGGGCTTCAGGGAGGAACTGCCACCTCCGCTGAACATCACCACCACCACCTCGTGTCCCCAAGGGTTCTGCTCTCCAGCGAGGGCAACAAGGGCATCTGGCTCATGGGCCTCATCTTCATCTCTGACATCCTCCTTCTGGTAAAGGACAAGTCAAAGAAGCCTTCCAGCTCCTTCAGGTACAGAGCTTGCCTCGTGCTTCTTATTCCCCCTGTCCCCATCAGTGACCTGCAGGACAGTAGGACAGATCAGGTAGGTGAGAGAGGCTGCAATTCTGACCACAGAGAAAATCCTAGAACCACTTCCAAACACCACAGTCCTAAAATGCAGAGAACCCACCTAGTGTGATAGTTTTGAGGGATTATCTGTAAACCAGCAGGCTTTTGGCTCAGTAGAGCATCACTCACTGTAGTTCAGGAGGAATACACCTATGAGCACACACTCAAGGAGGAGCACATCAAC